AGAGAATTAGGAATCAACTGTATATAATAGATTAAAAAAATCTAGGTATTTCACCTCTGAATACACCAAATCACTAAATAGTAAATTTAAATTGGAATGGGAAAGAATTCAATTGGTTTTAACTTTGGAATTTTCAATTGAGGAAGCATCCAGCTCCGTCTATGAACATGCTGACCATTGAGTCGCTTCTGCCCTGCCTGAGAGTCACACCTTAGGATGTGCTCTTCTAAACAATGGCCCAGAAGGTCTGCATTTGTGTTATTTATTTTTGGCACTGGGAATCAAACTCAGGAACTCATACTTGCCAGGCAGGCTCTGTGCCGCTGAGCTACATACCCGGCCTTTGTTATTTTTTGAGACAGTATCTCATGTAGTTCAGCCTGGCTTTGAACTCACATGTAGCAGAAACTGGTCCCCAACTCATGGCGATCCTCCTGCCTCAGCCTTCCAAGTGCTGGAATTAGAGGTGTGTGCCATGCATTTATTTTATTTCTCTATTCATAGATATTCTTTCCCTTCTTTCCAGCATCCAAACTAGTCAGAAAACAAGCAGTAGCATCTGCACTAAGCACACTGTACGACTTCATTGAATCTGTCCAACCGCTCCCAGAGGAACCTCTGTCCCCAGACATGCCAACTGCTTTACCTGGAGTCCATGGTCAGTGAGTAACCAGGTCAGCCTTGTAAATAGGCTCCAAACTCCACTTCCCCATCCTTTTTGCAAGCTGCACTCTTCCCTTCCACCAGCCTAACTTAAGGAGCAACTGTCCTCAGTGAATAGAAACTTACCTCTTTACTGTGACTTTCTTTAAGAATTCTAGATAGGAAACCAGGCATGGTGGTGCTCACCTGTAATGCCAGCACTGAGAGGCTGAGGCAGAAAGATCGTCATGAGTCCTAGGCCAGCCTAGGCCAAATAGTGAGTTCAAGAGAAGCCTAAACTACATAATGAGATCCAGTCTCAAAAAAAAGTGAATTATAGGTAGAATTTTCTTTTTCCAGGCAGAGACTGTATTGTTGTCAACTTAAATTATCTTCATTAATCACTTCAAACACACTGTTCCTCAAATTTTCTTCGGCTTTCATAAGCATTTCTTGATCTTCTTGCGGGGGGGAAATATGTTCTTTTCTTAGACTCCCCCCCCAAATTGTGTCCTTGTACAGGGAACATTCTATAGTAGCTAAAAAGTCTATGTCAGCTTGGTTTCAAAGTGTCCTGATCTATCACAGTACACTATAGGAAGCGGCTGCTATCCAGCCATTGTTAACACACACACACACACACACACACACATGCGCACGCGCACACACACACACGGGCATACATATGCATGCACATATTTCATCAACATGGACCTGGTGGGTCACTGTGAAGGGTGACACAGGTACTACTAGTGGTCCTCCCAGGGTGCTGTCCCCATCCACATCCATGTAGGCTCTGTCCGTAGCCGCTCAGCCAGGAATCCACGCTAGCTTTGCCGCAGACCTCTGTTTATAACCAAAGGCTGCTTTTGAAAGGAAAAGCAGTCCGGCCTACAAAAGCCCTCAGCTCACATTTGCAAATGTGACTCACAAAATAGGAACAATAAATCGGGGGAATCCTCAGTCAGTGCTCAGCCCTAAAGAGTCACTTATTCCATTTGAAATGTAATATATATATATATATATATATATATATATATATATATATAAATATGAAAAAGAACTTTCTTTTCACCATTCATGTGTTTTAGAGTTTTATTCAAATCATTTCTCGAAACTATGTATTTTATTATACCACTGTTTTAGTTCTCTGGCTACTCTAACAAAATCTCTTGAACTGAGTAGTCTAAACACAATACAGGTGCATTGCTCACAGTTGTACGGGCAGGGAAGCCCAAGATCAAGGTGCCAGTAGATTTGGTGTCTAGTAAGTGCTTGCTCTCTGCTTTGTGTGGGACCTATTGAGCCAGGCATGGTGGTAGACGTCTGTGATCCTAGTACTTGCGAGGCTGAGGCAAGAGTATCCCTGTGAGTTCAAGGCCAGCCGGAACTGCAGAGTGAGACCCTGACTCAAAAACAACAAAACAAAACAAAACAAAACAAAAAAACAGTGCCTATTGCTGTGTCCTCATGTGAAACAAAGGGCAAACAGGCTTCTTTAGACCTCTTTGATAAGGGCACTAATCGCTTTCATATGGGTGGAGTACTCATGACCTAATCATCACCAGGTAAGTTAGGATTTCGGTACTTAAGTAGGAAAGGACGAGCAACATAGACAGTCAGACCATGACAGGCACAAAGCAGAGTGAAATTGAATTTGATACATTTAGGTTTGGCTCCCCAGCCAGCCACTTAGAAAGATAAGACTTTGAGCTACTTATTCAGTAATCCTGCCTGCCAGTGGTGATGGTGTGCCGGTGGGATTTTTGGCGGAGATGAAATGGCGCATGTTGGGAAATGCTTGATACAGAGCCTGGCTCACAGTAGGCACTCATAAGAGGCATTTGTTAAGGATACCACCTGCCCTAGCGCATATTGAGAAATGATGAAGATAAGCACTACTGATGGCTATACATTTTTTTTTTTTTTTTTGGCAGTAATGGGTTTTCAACCCAAAGCCTTCACATTTAGCTACCTCTCCAGCCATGTCTTACTTTTTGAGACAGGATCTTCCTGAGTTGCCCAAGGTGGGACTCGAACTTGAGACCCTCCTTTCTCTGCGTCTCAGAATACAGGGAAGTGAGTCAAAGGAGAAGAAAAATGGCAAAATCTTTGCAACGGTACAGTGCTTGAGAGAGGAAATCCCAGGTCATATTTATCTTCAGGGTGACGACAATGTGCAATTGTGAGACACTTCTGTTGAGTAAATAGATGTATGATGGGACCTAGGTACACTGACATTTAATGGCTGCAGCCCTGGGTAGCTTCTTGTGTCCTGGGGCTTGGGCATAGCTGGGGCAGGGATAAATGCAGTCTTTCATCCCCATCCCCTGCCCCTTTTTGAGGCAGGGTTTTGTTATGTAGTCAGTGATGGCTGTAAACTCACTATGTACCTCAGGCTGGCTTCGAACTCCCTGTGATCCTCTTGAGTCAGCCTCCTGAGTGCTAGGATTCTAGGTTTGCACCACTACACCCGGCAAGACTTCTCTCAGAGTGAATTAAGAGTCCTTCCGCAGTGGGATAAAATGCTGATTCCCAGCCTCCTCTGCAAACCTACCCAATCCAATTTCCAATTCACATTTTAAATAGTTTTCCCAGAAGTTTCTCTGCACATTCAACTTTGAAAATTATTCTTTCAAAGCATGATTTTGCTACTTGGGAGAAATTTGGTAATGTCGGGCCATTACTGACCATGACTATGGGTGTGCTGCTGGTGTGCCAGGGTGTGCGGTGGAATGTAGTGGACGCTGATAAACACAGGACAATGCACCCAGCTGCCCCACCAGAGGACAGTCTGACCCCCATGCCGGAGAGGGCAAGGTTTAGAGACGCTGGTCTTGGCCATAGTGAAGGCGTCTGCAGTAAGGACTAGGAGTCAGAGGTCAGCTTGTGTCACTTGGTATGTCCTGAGGGTGCTCAGGTGGGGCTCTGGGTTGGTGTTAGGGACTTCGAGGTACAGACATTAGGCTGCCCAATTCACTCTTTCTTTTCTTTCTTTCTTTCTTTCTTTCTTTCTTTCTTTCTTTCTTTCTTTCTTTTTTTCTCGAAGTATTGAGAATTGAACCCAGAGCCTTCATACTAGGTCACATCCCCAGCCCCTTTTATTTTTTGAGATAAGGTCTTACTAAATTGCTCAAGCTGGATCCTCCTGCTTCAGACTCCTAGAGTAGTGGGATTACAGTATGCACCATCATGACCAGTTTAGGCTGCCACATTTTCAAAGAATAGGGCCAAGCTCACACACTGGACTCACACAGGCAGATGAAATCCCAAAGCTACTGAGTCATTATTTGCTAAGTTCTTTTTTCCCCCTCTAATACCAAAACTTTTAAAGCATCTATTGGGTCATCCTCATAGAATTGTGGGCAGTTGTTTGGGAAAAAGTATGTTACTGGTTCCACATGAAGTCACCTTTGCTCAACTGTCACACTCTGAACATGCTTTTGGAGTGTGGGTCGAAGTTTCTGAGAAGCAGACCTGTTCTCCTGCCAGCCGGCTGAGACCATGCCCAGTGGGCCCCTGGTAGGAAGCTCAGATCAACCTTGCAGGTAAAGGGAGCTGTAGTAACAAGTAGATACACTTATTTTTAAACTTTTAATAAAACATTTGTCTAGTGTGTGTGTGCGTTTGAGACTGGGTCTCACTATGCAATTCAGGCTGGCCTTGAATGCACTATGTAGCTTAGGCAGGCCTCAAACTCCGATTGACCTGCCTCAGCCTTCTGAGTACTGGGATTACAGGCATGTGTCACCATGCCCCACGTTTTTATTGTTCAAATGAAAATATGTTTTATCTGAAATTAGGCCTAACTGTTGTGTTTTCAAATATCCCTGTGCATAACCCTATTAAGATTTGCTTTTCATAAGCTGGATATGCAGTTTATACGGCGCTGAGCCGGGTACCCCCTCTGTCCTTGATTGCTTATTTCAGTTATAACGTTCCACGTAGCCATTTGGATTCCTCCCCAGTGTCTTTGCAAAAGTAGGTATCCAGTGCAAGATACCCTTTAAAAAAATACCCTGGGGTCCTGAGCAATGAACTTTTCTGGCAGAAATAATTCAGCACCTTCCAAATGTTTTGATGCTTTTAGGAAGCTTTTGAAATGCGAGGATTTAAGGCCCGCAGCTAGTTAAGCTCAGAGTAGACGCAGAGCTGTTAGACGAGAGTAGAACTCATCCTTTACTTGAGGAGCTCTGGACACTGTCTCCAGCGGCTTGCAGTCCTTGGGCTCCTGAAAGCTCCCCTAATCCTGGCGGAGGCTGCCGACCCGGCTCCCAGGACCACCCCCCGCTCCTGATTGGCGAGGCACTTCCGCGGCCCGCGCCAGCCGCCTACGACGTCCCTGAGAACTGATTTGAAATAAGAGCCAGGCGGCCCTCGCTTCTCCGTGCCCGACTTTTCATAGGCTGGGAACGAATAGGTTGAGAAACTTGACATTGTCTTGGGCAGAGTGCGTGTAGCAACAGATCAAAGAAAAAGAGGACGAAAACGTGCGCTTTGCTGCCGGTGGACTTCGCCCAGTTGCTTTTGTCTTGGGCTTCTGTTGGCTTTGCTGTCTCCCCTGGGAAGACTGCGGCGTGCGCTTCCATGCAGCTCGCTCCCTGCCGGATGGATCATGGAATTCTAAACATGAGGCAGGTAAGTGTGGCGGTGCTGCTGGCGCCGGCCAGGGCGGGCGCGGCGTGGGACCCCAGCGACCTGTTACTCCCGAGAGCTAGCGGAGTTAGGGATGCACGTCCAGGTCGATCCTTCGGGCAGAAAGACCAAGCTGCGTTTTCCTAAGGCGACCCAAGAAGCCCATTACCTGGGGTCCGCCCCCCCCACCCGGTCCTCCCCACCCGTGCCCACTTTTGCCTCTGATGGTGGTTGGCATGGCAGGCGGTCATTGTAAGGGGCTAAAAGCGGTTTGTAGAATTTGCAGCCTCAGGAGTGCATTGTGCAGGCTCGATGTTGAGCTTTTAGCTTTTACCCTACACTTTGGGGTTAGAATAAAGGCAACTGAACATCCTGAAAAGATTTCCACGGGGCCGCTTGGCTCATTTTCGCTTCCCATTCGGAGCTCTTAGTGTGTTTCTGGCTGAGAAGATGGAACCACCCGAATCCAGTGCAGGGTCCTAGCAGAAATCTGCGGGTGCGTTTCTTCTGTCCCAGCAGTTGGAAAACTGTGTTGCTTGTGGACGCAAGAAGACGCCTTGAAAGTAATGAGCAGAGATGGAGCTTGGGAATTACTTAAATGAGCCTTTGAAAATAATTCTAAACCAGCAGCTTCTTCCGTCGCCCTGGGGCATGATGATAAAATTCCTTATCAGCCCAAGCAGAGGTTTATAGGCTTTGCCGTTAAGAAAGAGAAGAGCTGGTTAGGAAGCCAAGAAAAGAGTGCAATTTACAACTCAAAGTTACAGGGAGGAATCTTATGTCAATATTTAAATAGCAAGATCAGTACTCACGTAAGGAGAAGACGACACACACTGGAAAAACATACAAATAGGCTAGAAGGGCAGAGATACAGAGGAGTAATAATACTTTTAACTACTGGGTATGTCAGGGTGGGAAAGTTGGCATCTATATTGCCACCGGAAAAGTTCCGCATTTTTTCCGGAAAGTGGGCTGGGTATTTGCCCTCCAGCATGCCTACTTTAGGGAAAATGAACATTCCAATTCAAGCCTAGGCCAAGGAGTTTAAAACTTTCACTCCCCTCCCTGCAGCTTTGGGAGGTGAAGTCCAGTCCCCACGGAGTGGTCACGCTGAAAGACCCTCAGCCTTCTTGCCCCACACTTGTCCCCTAAGCAAGCATGCTTCACAAATTCAGCGAGGACAGAACAGCACACCAGGGTCCCCTGCTTTTTAGTGAGTGGCCTTGCTTCGCTGGAGACTGGGGGGTGGGGCAGAGGTGGGTTTTCTTTATGTCGCACAAATTCATGTGGTCCAGCCTCATTATCGTACTGTCTGACAGTCAGATGGGATAAGGAAGGGGACTGAGAATGCTAAATGCCGAGGGTTCCAAAGGAGAAAGAGGAATTCAGAAATATTTTTGACAAAGGTCCTTGGCCGGAACAAAGAAGTCATTTGATCTTGTGAAGGCCACCTGTCCTCTCCTCTCCCGGATGGTGTCTAAGCTTAGTTTGCAGAATCCCTCTTCCCACACAGTTCCTCTAGAATGGTGGCACTCCCAGTAGCCGATGCCCAAGGCACACTCTCCTGAGCTGGGGAGAGTTTTTCCCATGCGTAGCTGTGGCATTCGTGTGAAGTTGGAAAGCAGCCCAGTACTGAAGTTTTAAGGGCACAAGTACACATGTACTAACTGCTTAGTTATTTAATGAATGAACAACTTTTTATCCCACATCTTTCTGTATCTAACTTTTTTTTTTTTTGGTCTGTTCGGGGCTTGAAAAGAGGATGAGAGACGGGACAAAATGAAAGAGAGGGAGAGGATTATTGTTCATCCTGGAAACCCAGACAGTCCAGCACAAGAATGTAGGGGAATGAGATAGTGGCATCATTGCATGGCTTAATCTTAGCTTTATTTTAGTTTCTCTCAAAGCAAAACTGCTACACCCAGGCAGTATGAGTCACACCCACCAGCCCATTTGTCATCTCAGCCCAGCAGTCCCGGCTGGATTTGCAGGGTTAACTATCAAACCGACCCTGTGTCATCAGCTCAGCAATGAAACTCAATCTTTTTGCTGATGAACGATCCATCCCTAGGGCTGCACAAATGCTCAGTAGTGCTGTGGTGGCCCACAGGAGACCCATGCCATGGACTCGCCAGAAACTCTGGGTGGCCAGAAATTGCCAGAAGAATTAGAAGGCTGCATGGCTGGCTATACGATGCAGAAGGGTTTGAGCTTCTGCCAGGCTGGTAGAAAAGAAACCGTGTAAGGCAGAACTCTCTGAGGGTTTGTAAGGTCACCATGAATTAGGCCTCTAAAAAGTGTAAACCCGATTTGCCTTTTATCAAGAAGCAATTTAAAAATGTGTACCAACCTTTCTTTGCACTCTGATCATAAGCAGGAAAGTTTACTGAACCCTCCTTGAAAAGGGATTTGCTATATTCCCAGGCAAAAGGAAAGGCATGGCCACCTGTTCTGGAAGCTGGGCCAAAAACAACAGGTTTGCCTGTGGCATTCCCACAACTGCACATATCCTCCCCAAATAGCAAGCCACCCATTGTCCCCACATAGGACAAGAACAAATACTTCATTCTCAAGCTGGAAAAAATCAGATTCTCCAGACCAAATTGCCTATAAGACATATTTCAAGCTTTTAACATCCTAGCAACTTTCGAAAAGACTCCAATAAGAGAACAAGGTACACGCTACATTTCTGATCATCTGAAATGAGTCACGTAGCTGCTAAATTCTTACAAGGCTAGGGTGCTGCCGTTACCAGGAAGCTGGGACTCAGTTTGATTAGCCCGTTTTGCATTCTTTAGATTGGAATTAAAATGCCCAAGGACATCTGGCTTCATAATGAAAGTCTTCGTATTAATCTTTCTTCCGAGGATTAGAAAGTCCTTTACAAACATGATCTATTTATTCTCTGCCACAACCCCAGGAGAGAATGAAGGGCAATTTGATCCTCATTGAACAAATGGTGAAGCGAAGGCAAAGAAAGGTTAAGTATAAAGAGACACAGCAAGTTAGGGGCAAGTCTGGAAATGCATACTCATCCACCCAGAAAGACTACCTGTGCAGGCTCAAGATCTCAAAGGCATTTTGGAGATGAAAACAGAACCTCTCCTTTTACTTCTCATTTTGTAAGCAGCATGTAGTGTCCCAAGTATGTTGCATGGTTCCTTTCATTTGAAAATCAAGCCTTTAAAGTTTAAAAAAGGCATTTCTGTTCTCATTTGTCCCAACACCGGGATCAGGCAGCTTTTATGACATCTAATAGGAAGATACTGTAACCGGAATTTTAAGTATGCATCTGAGAAAAGTTTCCTTTCAACAGATGTTTTAAGTTTTTGCACATGGTTTAGAGAGCTCAATGTCTTCAACATATGTTAAAATTTTAATTTCTTCCCTGCTATCTCTCTTTTAGGAAATGTTATGACTGTAGAACTTGCTGTCAATTTAGAGACCCTTTTCAGTTGTTTTTGAAGTAATTTCTTGAGTAGCTTTTCCTCGTTGTCCTCTGTGACTCGTGTTCATGGTTCGCCTGGCTGTGGATTGCATAGGCTGCAAGTAGATCTGTTAATTGGTGGTTACATGTCATCCACAGACATTCCAGCAAGTTCTAAGGCTAAGTATGTATGTGGATGTCTCTGGCTTTGATCCCTTGTGTGGTAAATAGACATCCAAGGTAGCTATGGCAACCTGGGCTGTGCTTGGGGGGGGGGAGGAGTTTGTCACTGGACAGAGAGTAATTTGTTTGATTAGAAAAAGATGGGGCCAAATCAGAATATTTTTAGCCCACATGATTTGAAGACCCCAATTCATCCAAATTGTATGGATTTTTCTTAATAGGTAAAAAGAATTAATGGCTGGCCACATCAGAGTATTTTGCAGATGTAATTTAAATTCTTTTTAATCGAGTCGTTGCTACTTTCCAAAAGCAACTTAGGGTTTCAACGTCATCAGTATCCCTGTTGTACTTAGTGTGAGTGTTTTTGATTTAAGAACTTGGTGAGACTTACAAAGAAAGAACAGGATCCAGTTGGAGGTGTGCATTTTAGTTATCCACCTGCAGGGGGCAGGCTTGAAGTTTCTATGGCGGAAGACCAGGCGGGGGACGCCTCTTCGGGGAGCCCGAGGCAGAGCCACAGAGAATTACTCTGCTGATTTAGAACAATTAGTTAGCAATTCTTTAATCTTGTGACCACGGCTACTATGAAAAGAAGCTTACTCAAGGAAGAGAATATCAAATACACTTACTAGACCAAGGGCAATAAAGCCAGGTCAAACAGGAATCTAATTTCCATTTAGATGTAGGGCAGTTTATCAGGAAGATTCTAGCCCTTTTATTTCACACCAAACTCATCTCAGGGGTTTTGTTCTAGAAGGTGATCTGCCTAGTTTCATAAACTGGCGTGTTCTAGAAATTTCTTTAACTGAGAGAACACAATATTATGGACTCATTGGGATTTACAAGATTTTATTCCTGCTCCGGAGGAAAATATTCATTGACAAGAGATTTGAATACTTCATGGCCTCCAGAAGAGGGTGTTATGGAGCTCAAAAAAATTGAAGCACGTATACAAAAATTCCTCTAGGGAACTTCCCTAAAAAACAAAAACTAGAAAACCAAAAATATTGCCCTCAAAAACATCTGTCTGTTTTTGTGCTTTAAGGAAAAGTTTCTGAGTAAACAAGACAATGACGGGGAAGAAACGCTGGCTGTTTCTGGTACACATGGGTGTTGATGAGTTCCTATTCAGGCAACTGTTTATGATAAATATAATGGCAAAGCTCTCCTTCAGCTCTTAAATCGTTGGATATGTACTGCGCACTTACAGGATTAATATTTCCACTAGTTCATGCACTGAAGCTCCATGGCAAGTGATTATTACATGCCAGATGACTTTAGGGTTTCAGGCAGGATTTTGATATGGTCACTGCTTTCAAAGAACTTTCAATCTGATGTACAGTTTACTGTGCTAGTAGCACAGTGTAGGTTATTGCATGGTAAAATGGCTGTT